AAGAGCAAGGGCCTGAGTTCAATCCCTGGCTCTGAAAAAAAAAAAAAAAAAAAAATTAAAACCCCCCAAAAATTTTAATTGGGAAAATAAAAAAACCTTTCGCTGAAGGACATGGCTGTTTCTCCCTCTGCAGCAGACCTCCTCAAAAAGCCACCCACACCTGCTGCCTACCACAGTGCCACAGATCAAGGTCACCACCAACAGCTGCTGGTGGCCACATTGATCCCTGGCTCAAACTCAGGCCACCCTCCCACTTGACCTCTCAGCCCTGTTTGTCCATGACAGCTCCCTCTCCTGGGACCCACTGTCCCCACAGGGCTCTCAGAACACCAGCACTCCTGCCTCCCCCGCTTCTTCCCAGCCTTGACTTCTCAGCTGCCCGCTCCCATCCCCCAGGCTCCGGGTCAGGGGGCCCTGCTCAGGCCTTGAGCTCTCTTTCTTCCATCTGTCTCTTACCCACCCCTCATACCCACCCTGCCCCCATGGTCTCGGCAGCTCCAGGGGCCTGAATTCCACCCCTGCACCAACTCCCAAGTGTACTGCTGAGCCTGCAGCCCCAGGCAGGCTCCCAATGCCCTCCTGAGCTTCTGCTCAGCACCCCCTCCTGGTTATCGGTTCTCAGTTTCCAGATGTCCCAACCTGACCCCGGGCCTCCGCTGCAAATGCTTCCATTCTGTAGTCCACCCCACCCACCAGGGGGCTGGCACCGATCCCCCAGGCTGAGGGACAGTGAGGGAGATCACACCCCTAAGGGGCCTGGCATGGCTCCCTGCGTACCGTGCACAGTAAGTGCAAACAGACAAGGGAGACCAACAGATGCTTTCTGGGAAGGAGGTGGAGAGGTGAAGGGGAGCTGGATCTGAGAATGGGTGCTGGGAAGGCAGCCTGGATACATGGCCTCAGGATGCCAGCCCAGGGGCACAGGCAGAAGGCAGAACTGGCAAGGGACAGGCAGGAGTGGCGGAGGCTGCTGAAGTTCAGCCTAAAGTCAAGCCTGAGCCCAGACCCAGGCAGATCTGATGTCTTAGATCTCAAGAGGAACAGGCCGGGCCCTCACATGAACTCCCTAGGGTCCTGGCCCAGCTGAAGTCAGAGGCCTAGCACCTTTCTCTGCCATCCTCTGCTGTCATCCATGCTGGCTCCAGCCCTCACCTGTAGTTCATGGCCTGACATTCAGTCTTTCCCACTCAGCTGCGGTCTCTCCTCAGAGACAGACCCCCAGGGCAGAGGACATCTGTGTCCCCTGATGTCCTCTGTCTTGGAATGTGACAGGCTCTGGCTGGATAGATAATTAGGGAAGAGATGGGAATTTTCCTGCCCCAGGTAAGGACACACAGAACCTCTAAATATTTCCACAGTCCCTTCAAGTCTTTACACAAGTAATATCTTCAGTGAGGCTTTTCTAAAAACCAATTCCACATTATGACACTAACCCACACATGCCACACCACACCCACACACGCACACACCTCACACACCCATAAACAATGCTAATCTCTCTCCCTACTTCATCTCCCCCTCCCCACTAGTCTCACACCACTGACATCCTGCTGTCCCCCACTAGAGGGAACCTCCAATAAACCGGGGTTTTCTGTCTGTCTTATTCCCCACTATGTCTGAGCTCTTAGACTAGCACTTACAACACAGGGCTCAAAACAGATTTTTAGAATGAATGTATTATTAACTATGCCTACTCAAATACTTGCTGGACACAGGACTTTTGTCAACACCTGCTTAGTGCCTTCCTCAGCCACCACTCTGATCCCTCACTTCTTCCAAGGCAACCATGATCCCCAAATCAGAGAGCGCTTAAGTCTCATAAAACGACAAAGTGGGCTAAGACACAGTGGTGTGTGCCTATATTCCTAACTCTCAGGAGGCTGAGGAAGGAGGCTCACCACAAGTTGGAGGCCAGTCTGGGCTACAGAGTGAATTCAAAGCCAGCCCAGACTACATAGTAAGACCCTGTCTCCAAAACAAACAAACAAACAAAAATCACCTAGTATTATACAGCTTAATGGCTGTGTAAATGGTTGTTATTCTGTATTGTTTAGGGAACAATGAAAAAGCCTGTCCAGGTTCAGTGCAGACATACTTTTTTTTCTCATACTTTCACTCTGCTTGGTCAAATCCCTGGATACGGATCCCCCAGACACAGAAGGCCAACTGTGTATTTTTTATAGTTTTGGATGAGGACACTGAATCTGAGAAATCATTTCACTTACCCGAGAGTACATCATTTTTATACACCAGGGTGGGACTGAGATCTGTCTGGCTCCAAAGCCATCCTCATTGCTTGCATTCTTAAACTGGCTTCAGCCAGAGGAGAGAAGGGGAGATGGATGAAGAGGCAGCAAAAGCTTCAGAAGAACCTACTCAGTGCCTCTACCTGCACCACCCTGCAGAACTTCCCAGTCCCTGATCACGCATTCCCCTGGAGGCTGGGAGCATTCTTGATGCTGGGTGTAGGGTGTGCAGGCCCAGAGGGACAGGGATGGGGGAGAAGAGGGCAGTGGACCCCTCAGAACAGCCTCGACAACAGCCAGCAAGGGGTGTGCTCATGAACTAGAGTTCCGGAAGGTCCAGATGAGGGATGCAGTCTCCCTTGGGCTCTGCCCTGCACCACAGCCTTTCCCTCACGAACCTGGCCCTCGGCCATCTGTCCCTGGGCAGCCCAAACGAAGAGGGTCAGCAGGGAAACTAGGTTTTCTAGGCCTTTCTCAGGATTTACACTTGGCTACTTTAGACTCCTTTGACAGGGGAGTCTGTGTGGCCTCCCAGGCTTTAATGGGACCTTGTAAATATCTGTGGCACCAAGAAAGCAAGGGGCAGAACCAAAGCAGGAGGCGATTTCTGGCAGTCACACACCTGGGCAAGGGGTAGAACGCTATCACACTGTTCCCCAGTCCTTTTACTGGGGCAGATGTCCTCCCTAGACAGCACCTAAGAATAGGGAGGGGTCAGGGGCTTCCCCTAGTTTTATATTTCTTTTCTTTTTTCTTTTTTTCAGTACTAGGGAGTGAACCCAGGGCCTTTGCATTGAGCTATATCTCCCCAGCCCTTTTTTAATACTTTATTTCAAGAGGGGGCCTTAATAAGTCAATAAATTGGTTGGGCTAGAACTTGCAGTCCTCCTGCCTCAGCCTTCCAGAGTGCTAGGACACCAGGCTTATGCTACTCTGCCTGATGACTATGGGTAATTCCTTAAAAGATAAAAATAGCAGAACTCACTCCCTGATACTCATACTTAATAAATCCAGGGTGAAGGCCAAGAATTAGCACAGTTACCAAGACCTTTCCTAGTCCAACATGTACGCCAAAAGTCACACCAGATTCTGAACTGCCCTAAGAAATCCTGATTTGGGGGGCCAGGGAGATGGCTCAGTAGAATAAGCCTTGCCTGACAAGCGCAAGGGCCTGAGTTCAATCCCTGGTTCTGCAAAGAAAAAAAAAAAAAAAAAAAAAGACAGACAGAAAAGGAAAAGAAATCCTGACTTGGGGTGAGGCTTGGAATGCAGGTAGGTTTTTAGGAGAGGAAGAGGTTACCCTACAGGGAAATTCAGAAGTGCAGCTTTTTGCTATACTCAGGAATCTATCTGCCAGTTTGGGGTATTTTCTTGCATCACAGAAACAAGAAGGAACTTGAACTGCCAGTGTCCAAGCCTTTCTCGCCCCGCACCAAGAACCCCGGGACTGGAAGAAGCCCAAATCCCAGCTTGGGACGTGAGGGGCAAAGACTCCTCTGGGAGTTCAGGCCATTTCAGGACCAGGAGCAGCAGCTGATCCCCAGGAACACATGGCCCGGGGCTCTCCGGAGAGCCCATGCTTTCCCTTTAGGCCAGCACCAGCCTGCACCCCTGTGCGTTTCGCTTCTCTAAATTGAGACAGTCACTCGCTCCATGCTTCCTGTATGATTTCTTTCTTCGTACTCCCCATTGGTGCGCTGCGCCTGTGTGGGTGTGGGAAGGGTGCTGCGCTTCTCTAACTTCTCTGTATTTTCCTTCTGAACCCTGCAGGCTTTCACTTCCTCCCCATCTCAGTTCTGCCTTTAACCGGCTGTCCAGATCATGAGACCCTCTTGCCCGTCCTCTCTGATCACCAGGGAAACAGAACTGTCTACTATCTGCAACAGCAAAAGGAAAGGCTCGAACCTCCCGGGGCAGGTAGCCCGAGGTCTCTGTCCTTCTCACACCTCAACCCCTAAAATCAATCTCTGGAGAAGCAAGCAGCTGCCCAGTTCTTCCAGAGTAGACACTAAACAGGAGACTGGGTGCACAGCCAGAGCCCATGTAAAGTTCAGGAGGACAGGCAAAGTGGCCCTGCCCTGTCCCTTTCCGCTCTCTCTGGTCCAGAGGGGCATCCAGGGAGCTGCCCAGCCCCAGCAGGATCCAATTCCTCACTGCCCACCCAGTCAAAGTCCCAGGACCGGGACACTCGGCTTGGCAGAGCTGCTGCTCGCGTGCGGCTGGAAAGTCCGTGACTCAGAGCTCATGATGTCAGCGTCTTCACAGAGGGGCAGTCAAGTCCTGTACTCGAACGTCCCCGGGGTCATGGGGAGGAACGAGCGAGATGTCCCTTCTCAGGCGGACGAGGGGGATGGGGCGCTGTTACAAAGGACGCCTATAAGGGAACGGCGCCGGCTTGGAGCGCCCTCTGGGTCATCCCCTCTTACCCTAGAGTACCCGGGAAGCAGCCCTGCTGGGACGGGGTTGGGGGCGTATGGGAAGGAATCACAAGATAGTCAGGTTTCTGAGAACGCTCCTGGTCCAGTACTCAGTAGTACCTGCGCACAGGTCGGACGGGCGCGCGGAAAGGGCGGGGGCAAAGGCGCAGGACGCGGTAGGGCGCACGAACCGCTGCGGCGCCCCGACCCGTCCCCGGCGACCCTTTCACGCCTACTGTTCTCCTTCCAGCCTCCCCGCTGTCTTCCGCGGTCCCTCAGGTTCGCCACCCCCATCCCAGCACCTTCTTAGTTCCCAGGCGGCGAGCGGAGCCCTTACCCGGAGCGGAGCAAGCCTGCGCCTCCCCCGGCACGGCGAGCAGGGCGACCAGCAGCACACAGCCGGCGGCCAGCATCTTCCTCCCAACAGTCACTCGCGTCGCCGAGCACTGCGGGGCAGGCGCGCGGCGGTGGGGTCGGACGCCAAAGGCGGCCGCCAGCCGCACGGGCTCGGCTCCGAGCACGCACTGAGAGGGCCTGGGCTCCGCGCCGCCCTCGGCCCGGCTGCCTCTGACCCGACTCGGTGTCAGGGCGACTTCCCACTTGCACATGACTCAGAGCAGCGGACCGTCCTAGAAACAGCGCAGAAAGACATTTGAGGAACTCGCGGGAGAGCCTCTGTGCCGTCCCAGGGTTCGGTTACGAAAGCCGGGAGCCGCAGATGGCGCAACAGCCAGGCGCACTGCCCGCCCGCAGGGGGGCGGCTTCCTGCGCGGCTGCGCGCACCTGAGCGGGGCGGGCAGGGCTGGAGCCCCCGGGCCCTCCCCAGGCTTTGTACGCGAGGAAAGAGACTTAGCCAGCCCGGCTGGGTTTTGAGTTTTGGTTTCGTGAGCGGAGTCTAGCTGTGAAAGGCGCACCTGAAGAGCCCTGGAGAGGGTGACGTGCAGCCTGCGGTCGCTGCAGGCAATGCGTTGCAGCCCGGGGTTGCCCACCGCAGTCATCTGCAGAGCCCTATGTGACACGTAGGTCTGGAGAGTCCAGAGACTGGTTCAACTGATCCCTCCGAGGTGAGACTCGGGCGTGCCAAGACGGTGAAGTATACTTGGCGTCTTTCTCTGCCCAGCTGCTTCTTGAAGGCAGCAGCAAGCAGAGGCAAGAGAATGGCTTGGTCAGAAAGGCCTGGATCCCCTCCCAGTGACTGCTGTGGCCCTGACCGCTGCTCCAAAGCTCTGTGCTCCAGTTTGTGGACAAGGCTATCCAGAAGATTTCCAGAGGTAACCTGCAAGCCCCTGGGACACGAGTGCTCAAGGAGGACCTGCACAGCAACCCTCTTTCGTTGGTCCACTGAAACCAGCTAGTGACTTTCAGGGGCAACCGCAGGAGACCTCTTTGCAGAGTCTACCAAGTTTTCCCCTGTAGCCCAGAGCTGATAGGATGGCTCCTGAGCCACATTTGGAAGAAAGAGATCTGGGGGCAGCTGGATGGGTATGGCCTGATGGGAACCCCAAGCTGAGAGCACCTGGTCTGGAGGAACCAGGGCTACTGAAGGACCCCTGCATTTGCCTCTTCCTGACGGAACCTCCTGCCAGCAGTGCCTGGCAGACCAAAGCCATGCCACCTTGGAAGACAGGCACAGCACGTTGAGGGCAGACGTTGGCCCTAGCCCTGGCTTCTGCTAACTGAAGTGGAGCTGCTGCAGCAGGACTGGAGAGTGCTCTCCACTGTGGTTGTCCCCTTCCTCTCTGCGGCATACACAGGCCTGAAAATAATCCAAGAAGGACCCCCAGCTGCCAACCTGAATCAGGAAGGCTGCAGCAAACCATCTGCTCCAAGCAGATAGTAAACTTTATTAGAGGATGTTGGCAATAGAGCAGGCATCCCATTCCCTGCCTGCCTTGGCATCAAAGTGGGCTGCCCTGGCTTCAGTCCCCCACAGGTAGAGTCTCTCTGGTTCACCTCTATATTCTCAGCCTGTTTTCTTCATCACCATGTCTTGCAAGCAGTTCTGTTTCTACATCGCATTCATGGCCACTTGCTCAGTGCCTGTGTGAAAGCCGTTCCCTCACGGGCCATTCCCTTCCTTTGCCTTCATTTCACTTCCCTGAAAACAGAGTTCAGATGTTTTCTCCAGGAAGCTGGCCGGTTTCTTCTTATTTCCCTGGAGTCCTGTGTCCCTCCAGCTGCCTGCTCTCTGTGCATCCTCCAAACCCATGCTGACCTTTTTTATTTTTTTTTTTAATTTTTATTTATTTATGTGTGTGTGTGTGTGTGTGTGTGTGTGTGGCCAGCTCAGCCCACCAGGGGGCGCGGCTGGCTGGCATGTGGTGCTGGGGGATTGAACCGCGGTCCCTGTGCTTTGCCAAACTTGTTCTAAGTAGGTGCTTAGACCACTGAGCCATCTCACCAGCCCATGCTGACCTTTTTAAAAAATATATATATTTATTGGGGCCGGGGAGATAGCTCAGTAGAATAAGCGCCTGTCTGGCAAGCACAAGGGCCTGAGTTCAATCCCCGATTCTGAAAAAAAAAAGTTATTTATTTGGTACTGGATCTGGCTACACAGCTCAGACTCATAGTGATCTCCTGTCTCAGCCTCTCCAGCTCTGGGAGTACAGGTGTGCGCCTCCATGCCTGGAGTTCCGAGGCCTGCATGGCCCGCCATACTGGGGATCTAACCCAGGTCCTTGCACTTGCCAGGCAAAGGCTTAGACCACTGAACTATCTCTCCAGTCCAATGTTAACCTTTTTTAACCCCCATCCTGCCTGCAACACCATAAGCCCATTTGTGCCCCCACTGCTGAGTAGGGTCTGGCACACGGTAAGGACATTGTCTGGGAAATATGACCTCCCTTGAACTGAGCAACTTCATGCCTGAACTTTATATGAAATGTAAGATCAAAATTCTAGGGCCAGCTGGGTGTGGGGACACACACCTGTAATCCCAGCACTGGGGAGGCTGAGGCAGGAAAACCACCATGAGTTTGAGTCCAGCCTGGACTATACAGAGAGACTCTGTCTCAAGCTCCACCCTCAAAATAAGAGCAAGGGTGTGGCTCAGTGTAAAGGCCCAGGGTTCACTTCCTAGTACTGCAAGGGAAAAAAGGAATCTTGGGCCAACATTCCAAGTTGTTATGAAAAACACCGATAAGGAAGAGAAGAAAGGTTCCTACACAGTACAGCCTGCCCTCAGGGAGTCCTGGCTCCTGATGCCAGCATTGCCAGCCTCTTGTCCCTAGAAAAGAGAGAAGACATGGAGTTAGCCAGAGCTCCAGAGTCAATGGCAGGCTGGGCAAGGAGGACAGCTGGCCTCTGGAAAAGAGAAATGGGTCCAGGGGATCTCAGAGGCACCGCTGTGATTCTGCAGCCAAAGGACAGGGAGGACTTGCATCATCAGAGCCAGAGCACCCCTCTCTGCCATCTATGTTGCTCACTTCACTGTCATCGTGAATTTCTCAACCACGAGGACCAGAAGAGATCATCAGACGAGGCTCAGGAGTGCAACTTGTCCAACACCCCACAGCCGAAGTGTGTCAGCTCCTGGTCCAGGACCAAGCAATCTGAAGGACATCTGTCTACCCTCTGGTGACAGACACTGGAGGTGGGCAGTCCAGGAAGGGAAAGTGGAGGAGCAGCAGCTCTCAGTCCTCACTGGTGTTCTAGAAGTTACCCTCTACCTCCCCAAGAAGGGTAAATTCTAGGCAAACAAGTGCGCCCTCACCTCTGACCTATAGAGATTAGGATTCCACAAATTGGCCAGAGATGCCTGAGGCCTCTTAGAAAAAAAAAATGTAAGATTAATTTTAATCCCAAAAGGACTCAGTCTTCACCTTCTCCTCCTTTCTTGCTTTACAGACAAGGACACCGACGCCTCCAGGGTGGGGCTGTTTGTAAAGGCCTTGTGGCAGATAGTGATGGGTGAGTCCCCAGAATCCTCCCTCTCCCCTCCCCAGGCTTGGACAAGCCCTTCAGGCCATTCCCAAGCAGTCAGCAAGTTCCAGCAGATGAGGGAGGCTCTGAGGAGCCTGGGCTCCTCTGGCCTCCGGCGCTGGAGACTTCTAGGCTCCCAGGTCGTCTGGCTTCTCACGCTCTGCAGCTTCCCTTCCCCCAAGTATGGCAGATAGAGGTATCCAGTGGGCTGAGGTAACCCTCAGAGCTGGGCTGCTCCCTCAGCCTGCCTGAGAGACCCTCATTTTCAAAGAGAAGAAGGCAGACAGCAGCCTCGATCCTGCAGACAGACAGCCAGACTCTCACCCGGCCAAGTCTGCAGTAGAACTCCCAGAACATCACCAGTAAGTTCTCCCCCAGAGAAGAATTCCTAACACCACGCTCAGAAAGGAATTCTAAAAGCTTCTCCCCTTTCTTGTAATATTTGTAGGATTTTATAGTTTGGTAACTTCTCTTTTTTTAAGGTTTTGTAACTCTTAAGAAACATCATGCCTGAGGTTAAACATAGAACTGCTGTGTGATCCATCAGTTCCACTTCTGACAGATACACAAAACACTGGAAGCAGCGACTCATACAGATGCTTGTACCCCACCCTCCGCGCTGCATTACTCCCCCAGCCCAAAGATGGAAAAGCCCAAATCCAGATACATGGATAACACAGTGGAAGATGCACACATGCTGGGATATTATTCAGCCTTCATAGGAAGGGAGCTCTGACACACGCTCCAGACAGAGACGTTATGCCAGGCACTGAAGGGCGAGTATGGGACTTCACTTATGTAGGCACTTGGAGGTCAAATTCATAGAAATAAAAAGTAGAATGGTGGTCATCAGTGATTAGAGGGAGCAGAGGAAGCTGCTATTTAATGGACAGTTTCCATTTTACAAGATGGAAGGTGAGCCCGGTACGGTGGTAAATAAATGCAATCCCAGCACTCAGATGGCAGAAAGACGGAAAATTTCAGGCTAGCCTGAGCTATATTCAAAGTCAGCCTAGACTCTAGGTTAAAATGCCTCAAAAAAAAAAAAAAAAGAAGATGAAGAATGGTGATGGTTGGGCCTGCAGTGCCGACCCCACCCCTGGGGTGCACTCAGACAGCAGTTAAGACTGGGCGTGGTGGCACGTGCCTGTAATCCCAGCTCTTGGGAGGCTGTAAACAGGCTATCACTATGAGTCTGATCTAGTGGTGAGACCTTGAACACCCTGTTGAGCCTTCTCTAAAAAAAAAATATATATATATATATATATATATATATATGAGGTGATGGTTTCATCATAAGGAATGTGCTTACTGCCGCTAACTGCATGCTTAAAAATTGATAAAATGTGCTGTGTGGGGCAGCATAGGCCAGTAATCCCACTACTCTGGAGTCTTGGGATCTCCACGTTCAACCACAAGGCAAATCAGTGAGACCCTGTCTCTAAAACATAAAAAGAGCCGAGGATGTAGTTCAGTGGCACAATTTTTACCTAGGGTTAAGGTTTTGACTTAAAATGCCCTGCTGGATGCGGTGGTACTTATCTGTGATCCTGGCAGTCAGGAGGCTGAGGCAAGAAAATCAACTGGAGTTGAAGGGCAGCCTGAGGGGCCACGGAGATAGCTCAGTAGAATAAGCGCTTGTCTGGCAAGCGCAAGGGCCTGAGTTCAATCCATGGTTCCGCAAAAAAAAAAAAAAAAAATGAAGGGCAGCCTGGGCTGTGTTGGGTACGGATTTTACGGTGTCACGAACAGGACAAAAGAAAACAAACTTCGGAAAGTTTCTTGA